TACATACTATATACTATATACTATATACTATATACTATTTACTATATACTATATACTATATACTATATACTATATACTATATACTATATGCTATATGCTATATACTATATACTATATACTATATACTATATACTATATACTATATAATCCTTATAAGCTTATTACTAATATATAGCGAACGTTAGGAGGGGACAGTTTCGGTTTGTCAACCAGTGAAAGCGGTCAGAAGGTTGGCAGTGCGGATCTAGAGTGGGGTGCACCTCTCCCGTTCAGCCACTGGCTAATGTTAGATACTAGTAAAAGGGGCAATAATAAAACAAGTCAGTCTGCGCTGGTAGAAATAGGATTTCCTCTGGGAGCGCACTACCAGCTGCTGAGTTTCCAGGTGGGAGGGGGGCAGCCGACCCAGAACCACCTAGCAACCGCGTGACTTCGGCAGCCCTTCTACTCAAATATCAAACCCCCCCCACCCACCCCGTCTCCTGAAAGCTAGATCCGCCCCTGGTTGGTGTGGTTGGTTCAGGCAAGTGGTTCTCCAGCCGCTGGTCATGCTCTCGTCTTGCGCATGCGCATCTCGAACTCAGAACGCGGCACGCGAACGAGTCTTCTATACAGATAGATTATATTTTAGATAGTTCTTTATATTTTTATATGATATATGATATATTGACTTTTATTTTTATATTGTTTTTTTATAATTGATACGATGATTATATATATACGTGAGAAAACCTAAGCGGTTCCTCTCCCCTCACCACGTTCCTCCGCGCCTCCCCACCCCCGCCGCCACCGCCTCCCACGTTCCGCGTTATGTATACGTCGAATGTAATACTGACAGACGATGTTACTGCTATACTTTCCCGGCAAGCATGAGATGGGGCTCAGTGGGTGGTCATAGACGATGCTAACCATGAGGTCGCAAGGCACTTATAGCCTTCACACAACAGCAGTCGCTAGGAGAAAGCACGATCTACCTTGATCACTGTTCTTCCTACTTTAGTATTTAGTTATTATAATATATATATATATATATATATATATATATATTATATTAGTACTTATTCCTGTGTAGTTTATATTATCGGGAGTGAAATAATAACAAAAAAACTAGTTTTTTGTTCGCTTCCAATATTATTCTTACGTTGTTGTGTTTTATCGGCCTTGGCATCGTTATATGATGTATGTTATGTTATCATGGTATGTTTCCTGCTTATAGCGCGCCGTTGTTTGGTACCCATCGATGTTAGCTTGGTGTGATGCCGTGTGAAAGTTCTTGTTAGCATGTTATCCGATCGTATAAAGTGTATTTCGCGTATGCGCCGAAACTCTCTAAATAATTCGAAGTATTAAACTTATCATACAATTTGTATTGAACTAAGAAACTCTTGAAGTATTTTTAATTAATTTCTGTTCGATGCTTATTCAGGCCTGCCGCGTGCGGACGCGCCGACACACGCTCACGCGCACGCAGGCAGGCAGTGCGTTTCCAAGTTTCAGTCTTCAGTCACGTGAATCAACATTTGAGAGTAATATACGACAAGCCACATGTTGCTGTGTCTTCTGTGCATGGAATCCTGTTCACGGGGACCCCACCGATATACCGCACACAGGCACTTGTAAATATAAATATGAAATATATAGGCGCAAAAAATATGATACTAAATAAATACGTACCGTATATGATCGCGTAATAACCGCAAATTTGGCCTCAGATTTCAACCCTGTATTTGCTCTGCGGTTTTTAAGTGCGCCATACCGTGAGGGGAAATATACTAGGCGCAATACTTGGTTATCAAATTCAAATTGAAGTGCGGCTTATAGGCGCCCGCGGTTATTACGCGATCATATACGGTATCTATTTACTACCAAAGTCTTAATGTTTCTCTACTCTCTTTCGCCTATTATTGCCGATAATTCCCTGTAAATGCCGTGCAAATGCTCCTCTACAACACACATGTACACCGCACGCACGCTGCCGCACACTGACACGGCATTTACAGGAAATTGTCGGCAATAATAAGCGAAAGAGAGTAGAGAAACATTAAGACTTTGGTAGTAAATAGATTTCGTATTTATTTAGCATTATATTTTATTGAAACGCTCCAAGTGCCTGTACAGCTGTACCAGCTGTAAGTGCTAGGCAAAATTCTGTTCGGCATCGGTTGTTAAGTTTACAAACAAGCCTCGCTCGCGCACAAACGATCTTCATCTATCAATCACCATACAGTCATTAGCTTCCCACTGTGTTTTTTTTTTTGTAGGAACTGCTTTTCAGTAATGCCCGGAGTGATGCAGATACTCTATAGCGCTTGAATTTATTCATGTCACTTCATATATTTGAAAGAGACCGATTCATATCATAGGCAAAAGTTTCGCGTTTCCGTTTCAAATTCATGTTAAGTATATAAGAGCTGCATTCCAACGTGGTTTATACCACATACCCCGATATGAACTTATATATGAAGGAAATGCAACAACAGAAAAGTCATTTTAGTTGTTTAATAAATAATGGCAAATTAAAAAATAATTTAATAAATAATGTGGCTGTTACTGTTCTCGAAAAATAACTACAGCATAAGGAACGCATTCGCGTAACTTGACTGGGAATAACGAGCAGCATCAATAATCCACGGCAATCGGATGAACAAGCGAATCTATATGGACATCTTACAAAAATAGTATTAATTATCTACATAACAAACTGTGGATTGTCTGCAAACACCAATTAGGGAGAGCTACACACACACACACACACACACACACACACACACACACACACACACACACACACACACACACACACACACACACACACACACACACACACA